GGAAAGTTGGGCTGGCTTAGAAACTTTCCAGAAGGCTGCATTTTTTTTTTCCTGTGCAGGGTATATTTCTTTAGGGAAAGAAAATATAGTTCCCAATCATTTCATCATTTATTTCTCATTATCTTTGGACTAACCCTTCCCTGATAGACTCAACCAAATTCAACAAACATCTGTAGATCACCACTATATAATGGGCATGTGCTTGGGGATGAGGATCTAATTATGAAAAACACAGCTCCAGCCCTCAGATGGATCCATTGACCCCCCTAAAAATATTAGACATCCTTTGCAGAAACTTAATAATGCAGCAAATCCTGTCTAATGCTCTAAGCGTTATTTTCTTCATTTGTCACCTACCTTTAGAAAACAGATGTTCTTACTATGCCCATTTTAGAGTTTAGATGACTAAAACTTTTGCCAGCTTCAGCACTTTCCTAATGTTACTGACCTCGTAAGTAAGAGAATCAGCACTTTCCTAATGTTACTGACCTCATAAGTAAGAGAACCAGATCACAAACTCATGTCTTATGTGATTCAAGTGCATTCGTCTCCTCCAAATATCAGGATTGGGCTAGGAAAAAGGCAAAGATTATAGAATTCTGAGTTGAGGAAATATTTTAAGCTGAGCTAAAGGCTGACAGATGCTGGACAGGTGTGAGCAACAGGGTGAACTCAGGAGAATTTGGGTGACGGGTGGAGTCTTGCCCTTGGACCAACCTGCCCTGGCTTCACGCACTTCCCCACCCCACAACAACATAGAGTTTAAAGCAGTATCTGTCCACTTGTATGTGTTTAACCATGAAGTCTAACCTGCTCCCTGGCCCTGGACCAGTGAATGCTGGTGTTAATTTTATGAATACAAGGTGTGACCAGAAAATATGATGTATGGTTAATTAAAAATTTTAAAATTATTACAGTAAGATACATTGCCATTAATCTCCCTCAAGATACTCCCCTTTACTTCAAACACACTTATCCCATTGTTTTTGCCACTTTCTGAAGCACTTCTGGAAGTTCTTTCATGAGTGTCTTTGTGCCGCCATCTTGAATCAATGCAGAATGTTTACAGCAATTTCTGTCAAATAAAAAATTATGGTGTGTCCCCATCCTTTTTATTCACTGGATTTGGCATCAGAATTGTGGCTCATCCCCAAAGTCAACATGACCTAGAAAGGTAAATGCTTTGAATCCATTCATGACCTTGAGGCCACCATCATAACACAAATAAAGATACTCATTGAAGAGAACTCTAGAACTGCTTCAGAAAGTGGCAAGAATGATGGAATAGGTGTGTTTGAAGCAAGGGGAAGTATTTTGAGGGAAGTTAATGTCAGTGTGTCTTTTAGTGTCATAAAGTTATTTTTAATTTCAGTAACACCATATTTTTGATCATCCTTCACATAGTAAAGATTCTTATGATGTTATTTGAAGAAAACTAATCCAAAACATACAAAAATTCTGTGACAAAGCAATTCCCAGTTGCATGACATATTTTTGCTGTCAACAATTTGATTTTTTACCAAGTCTAGTAAGCTCTCAGAAATAATGAGTGCAGTTGTTGCTTTCTCCTCCATAACATTCAGACTGAAGCAGTCAAAGGGTCAATTTTACAGCACATATCCAGAAGTTCTTTCAAAAAACTGATAGAAAACCATGGAGATATGGGGAAATACTCTGCTACAAGGCTTGGAATAGGATTTTTTTTTTTCAAATAACAAGGAAATTAAGTTGAAGGTGGTAGGAATATTTTTAAGGGTGCACATTTTGTAATAATCTTTATCATTAGTTAAAGACCTTGTCTGTGTTGGGCAATTGGTGGGAAGCTTCTCTACAATAACTCATTAAATGGAATCTTATGACAACCCTTCCCAGGAAAGCATTATTCTCATATTTATATGTAAACAAACTGAGGATCCAATTGGTTGAGCAATTTGTCAAAGGTCCCTCATTGGGCAACTTGCAGAGCTAGAATACAAGCCTGGTTTGTGCTATTTCAAGGTTTCAGTGTTGCTTTTCTGTATCTACATTAATTAAAATATATTCTATCTAAAGATGTTTAAACACAAATAATACAATGATAAAAAGGCACTAGCTGATCTGTCTCTTTTCCCTTAAAAGAGAAACTCTTCTCTCCCTCTTTCCTCTCTCTCTCTCTCTCTTCCTCTTCCTCCCTCTCTCCTTTCCCAAAAGGAAGCAAAAACATTAGCTATTAGCTTACTTTTCTTACTGCTTGATGAATGCAGTGGGATTTTACCTGAAGAGATTCATAAGCCTGCCAGGCAGACACCATTGATCCAACTATAGTGCCATTATGTGCCTGTCCATATGCGTGATGTTGGAGGGAAGGTTTTGTTCCTGGGAGTCACAAAGCCATCATCCATCTGACATCCTGGGTTTTGGTGGGCCCTTACCTGCCGTGCTTCCTGCAAATGTCTTCCATGGCCTGTGATTATTTTTAATCGCTCACAGGATGCTTCCTAGTAGGAAAGTCCTTGCCAACCTCGGTCATCAGGACTACCTCAAAGGAGTCTCAGAAAATCGGTTACTCAGTTCAGCTCAGCCCTTCTGATGAGAAGTAATATATGGGGTGCCTGATCTTTCTCCAAGGTCGTAGAAACTACTGGTCCTTTTAGAGACAGCACAGGCCACTTCCAAAGGATATATGGAAAGCAAGGTACCAAACATAAAGAAAGGGTTCTGCATAGGAGAACAAAAGGTACTTAGATTCAGAAAGTCCTGAACTCACAGATCCTACCCAACACCAAAACAATACTAATAATGTAGACATTCTCTATTATTCTGAAAGTATTCATTAGGAACTTTGTGATTTGACCAAATGACTTAAGCTCTTTGAAAGGCAATTTCCTCTTTTGTGAATAGGAGGATAAAGCTCATATCACCATTTTAAGAATGAAGTAAGAACATAAATGCAGCTGGCTTTTGTGAAATACTGGCATTTGAGGATCAAGCACCAACAGGAAATTCTCCTTGTTTTTTGTCTCCACTTTCCTTAAAGCATGGGTATCAATTCTTCTCGTTGCTCTTAAGTTTATATGGGATAACAAAGCCACTAATCACTCTAAAATCACACATCACTCCCTCAGTCTAAGAGTCAAATTGATTGGTCCAAGTTCAAAGTCCCAGGAAGGAGCTGGAATTGTCTCAGCTCATATCACATATCTACACAGAGACCAATCAACTCTCAATTGACAGGTGCAGTATTTTATCCCACTTGCCAAACTGTCCCTGTGGTAAGCATATGGATAAGAAGAAGTGGGTAGTTTATAGAAGAGAGCGGGATTATTACATGAAAAAAGAGTTTTACCACAGAAGAAATCACTGGCCCCTACTACAAGAATGCATGAAAAAACATGTCACTATATCTAGTTCAGATACATGTATTTATATACAATCTTTTGTCAATATGTAGATTTATACCCATTTTAAATGCCATATATATTTTTTTAAATAGCTAAACAAAAATGCATTATTGGTTAGTTACAATCAATATAGATAAGCTACTGTTAAGATTCAGAAGCGATCATAGACGCTAAGAATAACAGGCATTTTAAAGGCATAATCATTCTGCACCTTGACTTATGATAAACCTATCAATAATTTATCAATAATGCTACGAATAAGTCAAAATGCACTGAATACCCTTAATCTACTGCACGTCACAGTCTAGCAGATAGGACACTGGGGTCTCTCTTGTTACCCTCAGTGGACAGAGGCTGCCTGAAAACTGTGGCTGTCTGTTGCTGCCCAGCAAGGACAGCGTGGCACTGCAAAGCACCAGCTCAGTGAAAGATCACAATTCAGAATTCTAGGCTGAGTCTCTAACAAACACAATCACTTCCACACCTCTGTGAAATGGCCCAATCATAAGTCAAACCTTCTTAATTTGAGAACGTTTTGTACTTTTCCATCAAATAAACACACAGTAGAAACTCAATATATTTGACACGGAAGATTTTGTTTGTTAGCCCTGTCCTCTCTCCTGTCCCTTAGAAACCCAACTGTTTCCCTATTTTCAAGTTATTTATTTGGTTTTGGTTTTGGTCTTTCGGCAGTAGTCGGGTTTGAACTATATCCCCAGCCATTTTCTTTCTTTTTTTTTAAATTTTGAGACAGGGTCTCACTGAGACACTAAGTTGTCCAGACTAGGCTCAAACTATAATACTCCTGCTTCAGCCTCCCAGAGTGCTAGGAATACAGGCACGTGTACCACACCAAGCTTCTATCTTTAAATCTTTATGGGTTCACCACTGAATTTTTAGCATTAAAATTCTAAGGGGCTACATAAAGTAATTCAAACAATTTGAAAATGCAATAAAATCCTTCTATGATTAGCACTAAACAAGTCACCAAACAGGAAATTTAAAAACTTGATTTCTGGTTTTCCTCTTTGTTCTCAAATATGCACAGAACAATTCTAGACAAATCATTTATGCTTCCTGTGTCCAGCCAGAAACCTGCCTGATAAGTCTACCTATCTTTCAGAATGAAGCCTACAAACATCAATGTGTTCACGGCAAAGAGGACCCACTTACAAGGAGAAATGGGAAGAGGTCCCAGAAAACTAGTGACTTTCTTATCAGAAGGATAACTGCCACCCCAAAAAAGAATTAACTTTGTACATAATGCAAAAGAATTCTTTGACTTGAGCCAAAATGTAGGATCCAATTGCCCTCTGCCAATAAACTCTATTGAGGTTCCAGCCAATATACTCCAGGTTTTAGAAAGAGACCACTTGGCTTTGCTTCTGACTGATTCCAAGATAATATTAAATAATTTTGGAAAGATTAACTCCCAGACCTTTCAAATATGATAATAAGAGATGAGTATGATATTTTGACAAAATTATGAAATTAAAAGTCTCATTTTACACTGAATCTTACTGCTCTGATATTATTCCTTTGTAGAGAGAAGGAATAAGATTTAGGAAGCAACAGTGTCCTAAGCAACAACATTCCAAAGAGGAAGCTAAAGGTGTGAGGTGAGAGGTTAACTGGTCTAGAAATCTGTGTTGTCAATTAAATACTATTCCTTTTTACTTCTTTTAAAATATGAAAAGAAATGCAGAAAGTTACAGATGACAATATTATCTTGTAACACAATTCATGTATTTGCCATGACACAAACCTGTTTCTAACAGGGCCACTTGCTTCCAACCTAAATGGAACATACATTGATAAAGGACTCATGCCATTTTGAACTTCATTGCATAAACGCTGAATTTGGGTCTTTTAAAAATCCTGTCAATTCATTCCTCAGTAGTTAAGATGCAAAAAATATGCAAATAAGCATGCCACAGTTGATCATTGCTAACCTTTTTGTAGTAACTGATGTTCTTCCCCAGAAGCTGCCGCCCCTTCTATTCTTGTTCCCTTCACTCAGGGGATGCAAAATGCTGAAGACAGTTGCCCTTTATGTGATTCTGTTTCAGGAGGTTGAGGCTAGGCCAAAATCTTCACCTTCCTCTTTCCTAAATACTTTTTTCCCCCTCTTTTAATTATATTGCTTTACACTGATTTATATGAATTTCAGCTTTCAAAATCATTGGTCTTTGCTAAATGCAAATAAGCACATGGGAAAATTATATTAAGTTTGCACAATTGATCTTTCATCATTTCAAATGGTTCCTTTGAGCAGGTCCTGAAATGTCTGTCTGAAACATTCCCAGCTTTGGGTGCCATCAAAAGATGGGGGGGGTCATCCTGATAAAACCCATTCTCAGTGATGTAAATTACAGGGTTATTATATGTGTCCTAGAACAAGACAGCAGAAGTTTTATTCCAAACAGATGTTAAAAAAGAAAGTTCATAAAATCAGGTGCTTTACCCTCTCTATCTTCTTGAAGCTACAACCCCAAAACTAGTTTTCATCAAATTGCACTGACCCTATTAACTTAATTTTCCATGCGCTGACCTTTTATGACTAACAATGGAAAAGCAAAACTGTGCAAATGTCCATGAAGACAGTCAAATGACTCTTATTATAATGAGAAGACAGAAATATCTTTCTTCCCATCAGCATCTGTTCATTGTCACTGTTCCTTAACCCCTGGCTCCCACTGACAGCTACATTCTCTATCCCCCACAGGAAGGGTCCTGAAACTGATAACTTGGAATTTTAATTTCAGCTACCTGGATGCCATCTAGCATAATAGAACCCCAGAAAGGATCCGGCTATCTCTCTTAAAATAACTTTTAATAATCCCAGCTATGACAACAGGCTGACAAGTGTGTTCATGCTACTTATTGCTACAACTGATTTTAACAACAAATCCTAACTTTGACCACTGTCTTTGAAGCAAATAATTAGCCAGTTAACCTTCACCAACTTAAATCCCAATCTGTTCTTCTCAAGCCAAAAATGGATATTCTATTATCTAAAATCATCCTTTTTTCAGTCTATATGTACACATACCTTTGCCTGTCTTGCTAACCTTTACACAAGTACACACACAAATCATGCAGTTACCTTAATATAGTTCAGCAGTTTACATAAACCCCATGGCGCCATGTGGACCCACCCCACATCTTTCAAGACAGATCTGAAAAAATCCCTATCTTCGCATGCTGAAGAATGCCCAAATTCTGCTTCCTTATTCTGCTTGGGCCTGACGTGGCGAGTCGTGTAATATTGCACAGCAAAGAAATCAGCAGTGCCTTTGATCATTTTCTTCTCTTCTTTGAATTCTGAAAGCCTCGATGATGGATAGCCTTGCTTTTCACTCATGGAGGCAATCTAGGACTTGACAAGTTCAGGATAATCACCATCAATGAATATAGGCTTACCAAAGAAATCAAACTGGAAATTGATGGCTCCTTCAGCAGCTTTCTAGTCCAGCACTGAGTTGGGATTTGCTGGTTCCAGCCAGAAACAAAAAAGTGATAGGGACACCATATCCTTCTGTTCTTCCCAGAATAAGGAATCATGACTATGTCAGGCTTTGGCATGAGCTTTAATCATATTATGAGCTGCCTGATAATCTCCAGTCCCAATGTGAGGAACACCAGGAGCAAAGAAATACAGGTCATATTGCACTAAAAACAGGCTCATTTATGGTGATCCACTGCCTCACTCGATTCCCAAAGGTGCTGAAGCAAAACTGGGCATATTTGTCAAAGACTTCAATAATTGTATCTGACAACCATCCGCCTTGGTCTTCTGAAGCCTGAGGCAAATCGAAGTGGTGGAGTGTCACCACAAGTGTAACCCATTTGTTAACAAATCATCAATGATCTTGGTGTAATAGTCAAGTCCTAAGAGAGGGAAAATACAACAAAATAGTTATTTTCAGTATGTTGGCAATATTTTGATCAGGATAACTCTTATATAAAATAAGATTTATTTACTCTCTCAGTATAATCAACAGAAGGCTGTGAGGTAAAATCTAGAATTCCCTGACTACAGGCATGGTGGCGCACACCTGTAATCCCAGCTCAGAAGGCTGAGGTAGGAGGATCGCCTCAAGTTCAAAGCTAGCCTTGACCACATGAAGAATTCAAGATCAGCCTGAACTGCATAGAAAGACCCTGTCTCAAAAAGAAAAAGAAAAAGAAATCCCTGACTGGCTGATCAGGGATACTTGTCCGGAAACAGATACATGTGGGTAAGTCGCTGTCACCAAATGTTGAGCTATTTTCCCACTTATCAAAATTGTTATGTTTACCTGCTTGTACACTCATTTTTGTCTCTTAACTCCACTGCAGTATAAGCCCCAGGAGAGCAGGAGTCTTAACTATCTAATTTGCCTTAGGATTCTCAAATCTTGGAACAGTGTCAGAAATTTAGTCCATAATAAAGATTTCTTTCAATGAATGAATGAATGAAACTCAACTGTATTGAACAAAAAGTAAAAGAATTGATTTAGATGCCTGCCTTCATAGTTTTGTAGACCTATTAGTCTCACAGGTCTAAGAAAGGAGACTTGCTGAACATAAACCAGAGACAGGACAGGCTACTGAGAACAGACAGCCAAGGGCTTGAGATGTTGTGAGTCCGTTAGGGAAAGTGCCCTAAAGTTCTGACATGGTCCATGGGAATCCATAGTCAGCCCTCGCACTCAGCTGATTTTTCCAGGGCTGTATGTGGAAGGCAGTGCCTTTGGAAATGTTGCAAAATCAAGAAGGACGTTATCAAGTTGAAGACAGCCTGCCTTAGAAACTAAAGTGAAGAAGATAGCAGGTCTAGCCTCAGGTGACTCTTACCCTGGAAAAGGCTTTCTCGGGAGAGGATGATGTTTGCACTGTACATTATTTCATGTTTAAGCCTACGAAGGAAACTGAAGCTTGGAAGAGAGAACCTGTTCTTTCTAAAGAAATGGATTCTTGGATAGACATTATAAAGGCATATGTAGAATTGTATTGTGTTGAAAGTTTACCTAAAAGAAAGATTCCTTTCTTTTTTGTTTTTCTCTAGCTTTCTCACTTCCCATTTTTTTAAAAAAATAGTAATTCAGACTTTTTCATTGCTTCATGTATCCAATTATTCATTTGTCCATTACCTAACCGCATATTGATAGAGAAATTGTCATATATCATAAGCAAGGTACACACTGGCCTTCTTCTCAAGGAGCTTAGTAGGAGGAACTACAGACAAATTTATGGATAAGTACAATATGGTTCAACATAAAAATAAAGTACAGGGTCCTATTTAACTCACCCTGATCTTGCAGTATGTGAAAGCAATACACACAATAGTTTCAAAAATGAACTATGGCACCAGGATATCTGAGTTTTCTTCCCAAATTCTTCACTTTGAGCATGTTACTTTGTTTCTCTGAATAATCCTTCTACCTTGCAAAATGTGGATAATTAATAGAAGCCTACATCAATAAACTGTGAGAGTTTAATGATTTGATAAATTGAACAAATTTACAACTATTCTTAGCATATGGTAAGATCTTAGCAGAGGTCAGCAATCATTCTAGTAATAATTTTATTGTTATTGTTATTAACATCTAAGCTAACATTTAAAAGATGAATATAAGTTACCCACATAAGGCAAGGAGAAAGGAGTGACTCAGTAAGATCAAAGGGGGACAGAAATGTACAAGACCAAAAAACATGTAAAAATAAAAAACCTCAAATGAGAAAAGCAGGCTATGTATTTATTTGGTTTGCTCTAGCAGGAAAGTCAGCCACCACCAATTGCATCTGGCAGATACTCAACAGCAGTCAGGGAAGAGCAAAAGCTGTATAGAGGAAAAATGGGGTGGGCTTCAGGTCAGGCATCCTCTGACAGGAGGTTGCTGGTATAGGGCAGCTGGAAAATGGCCGGCTAGAAGAGGATCATCCTACATCATTGGTTTGGGGAGTGCACTGTATTTGGTTTCTCTGGATGGTTCTGAGTTGGAAATAAGGCTGTAGCGGGGGACACAAAAAACTAGAGAAGCTCGAATTGTTGACCAGGTATTAACGATTAAGGGCTGACTTCGGCAGAGGTCATGGTTTGGTGTCTGGGCTTCTTATGTGGTCTGAGTCTTCTTTTTATGTTACCTGGCCATTGTTTGCATATTCATTCTCTTGGAAGAGTAAAGCTTCTTCCAGGAACTGAAAGTTCTGTATAAGAAGAGGAGTTTATCAGAAGAAGAGTGAGAATGGGGAGAGGTAATGGGGGTAAGCAAAAGCCGAACTACACAGACATGTGCTGTCTGTCTAAGTATTTTTAACAAAGCTGGTTTATTTTGCAAACTGGAACATAGTGTGAATCAGGCATAGCAACTCCATATTTGGGAGAAACATTCCTATGCTATTCTTACTTGGTAGGCAGAATAACTCATCCTTCTCTCAAAGATGTCCATGCCCTAATCTGTGGAAGGGATGAATATGTTACCTTAAGTAACCAAAAGAAACTTTACAGATGTGATTACGATAATGATCTTGAAATCTGAAGATTTCCCCAGATTGTTCAGGTGAACCCGATACAATCACCTGTGTCCTTACAGGTAGAAGAACATAACAGAAAAGTAGGTCAGAAAGATACTACAACAAAAATTGGGGTGGGAAGATGGCAGCAGGAGAGGGACTTAACTCACAAGCCAAGGGATACAGGCAGCTTCTACAAATTGAATACAGTCTCCTGCTGATAGCCGAAATGAGGACCTTAGTCCTGTGACCAAAATGAACTGGATTCTGCCAGCCTGTGGAGGGAACCAAGAAACATGCTCTTCCACCATGTGCTCCAGAAAGAAATGAAGCCTTGCTGGCCCCTTGAGTTCAGTCTTGGAGAGACTCATATGAGAGTTCTGACCAACAGACCTCTAAGAACACAAATTTATGTGGTTTTAAGCACAGGTTTCAAACAATTTGTTTGCAGTAGCAAAGGAAAATTAATACACTCACCAATATTTATAAAGCTTTCCTTCTCTCTCAATGAAAGAATTTTCCACTAACTGATCTCTGGGCCCTGTTAACCCACATTTCCTCATTTATAAATAACATTTCAAAAAATGATGTGATTACAAAATTTTGGTATTGGTGCATGCAAGGTTTTTCTTAGCCAACTCTTTTCATTGGCTTTGAATCTAAAAATAATATTGGCTTTCTTTTGCTGAATTCATACTATATGTACTAGATGTCATGCATTTTGCTTAATCCTAGTACTAAGCCCAAGAGATGGGCATTTTCATTTCTATTCGATAACTGAGAAAACTGATATTCAGAGAGTCTTAGTATTGTCAAATGGAACAACCTGCATTCAATCCCAAAGTTTCACCGCAAAGAATGAACTGTTCCTATTTTAACACCACATTTCTCATGTTAACCAATGTTCACAATCCAGAAAAGTGTAACTCTCTTTCACTAGCCTTAACATTTACCTGCTTCAGAACAGATCATGATATCAGATTCCTTTTGGGGTTTTTTGAAGCAATCTCCAATGGCATACAATCTGTGTAACTCAAACAACATGATAATCAGAGTTGAACTGAAGATAAATCGATTTTAAGTAACTAGGGAATTGTATAATTTATGGCTCATATTCCAGAGCTGAATACTTGATTTCTGTTTTGTGCAGTTTACCCAGTGCAGTAAGGAAACTTCTCCACAAGGTAGGAGAGTGAGATTTCTATCAGCAGAACACCACACTCAGTCGAAGGATCATGGAGGATCACTTGACCTGGACACCCATGTTTCCCCCTCTGTAAAAGAGGAGTGTACATAGTGCCATCCTATGACTGTCCCTAGTATCAAATGAGAACAGACTGTCAAAGGGCATTTCTTTATTTATCAGACTGGTACTATTCAGGGACAACTCCTTCTCTGACTAAATGTATATTTTTAAATGATATTGATCACCAACATAGGGATATTTGCCTGTAATCCAAGTTCTCAAGAGGCTGAGGCAGAAAGATCATGAATTCTAGTCCAGCCTGGGAAACAGCAAATGTAGCTACACACACACACACACACACACACACACACACTTAAAACCTCTATAAGCTTCTTTTATGGTCAATAATATGCTCTCTGGTTTAGTTAAGCCCACTCATGCTGATTTATAAATATAAAGTACATCTGAGCCAAAGGTCTTTTAGATTTAAGAAAAATAATCCCAGACTAATTCAAATATAAAGGTAGAACTGGAGACAGTTGGGTGGAAGGTGTGAGGAACAGTGGGCATGATTTGAGATGACATGAAGATATCACCCACTTGGGCCGGGGATTTAGCTCAGTGGTTCCGCCGCTGGCCTTGCAAATGCAAGGACCTGAGTTCGATCCCCAGTACCAAAAAAAAAAAAGATATCAGCCACTCAATGACAAAAAGCAAAACTGTAGCTAGAACTCAAGGGAATTTAAATTGGGAGATGAGAAAACTATTGTCTCACAAGGGAAGTGGTCTCCCATCCCTGCTTCTCTCAACACATCAACTTCATTCCCCTCCTTTTCAGAACCAGTTCTCCCTATGTGCCCAATGTGCCATCATTTCAAAATGGCCACCCCATCTGCCAAAGCTACTTCAGAGCCCTGGTGCCATCCACCAATGAACTCATTCTCCAAACATCCTTGGGGGAGGGAAACAACTGGGCAATCTCATCTTTTCAGTGAGATCACACAAGTTACATGTCAGGCATGGAGCAGCATTATATATAACAAAGAAATGGGGAAAATATATGATGGCTCTCCTTGGTTCATACATCTCTAAATTCATACCTTGGTTCTTTTGCCACATGACCTATATTAGTTAGCTATTACTGCCACAACAAATTACCACAAACTGAGACCAATGCAAATGTATTATCTTATAGCTGTGGGCGTCCAAAATGCAAGTGGTTCTCAATGGGCTAAAATCCAAATAGTGTCAGGGCTTCATTTCTGCAGGAGGCTGTCAATGTCCTTGCCTTTTCCAGGTTATAGGAGCCTCCTACATGACTTCTTTCATGGCTCCTTCTTCCATTTCTATCCTCATGTCTCCTCTCCCACCTCTGTTCCACTCCTTATATCTCCTCTGTCTGAGTCTGATTCTCCTGCATCTCTCTTATAAGGACCCACAGATAATCCAGACTTATCTCCACATCTCCATATCCTTAATTTAATTACATCTGTAAAGTTACCTTTCCCAGGTAACTAATATATTTACAATTTCTAACGTTCAAGGAAAAATCATGCTTGAGGTGGGGGAGGGGAATTATTCAGCCTATTATAATGTTCAACATAAAATACAAGGTTAATGTTTGTTGAATTAACTTATTTAAACCACTCCTGCTAAAGTACTGTTATATTTTAAATGTTAAAGGGAACAAGAAATTCCACATAAATATTCCTTTTTTCCCTTTCTAATAGTAGGGTCTCATACTAATCACTTGAAACTTACATTTGTGACAGATATGAAAATTCATTTGGACAGATGAGAAATGCAGAAATATGTGATTTCAGTTGCCAACTCAATCTTTTCTTGTTAAACCTTGAAAACTTGACATTTGAAAGAGAAAGGCTATGTAACATTTCTACTTTGTAAAATATTTCTCCAGTTTGGGGGCATAGAATTTTACAAGGCTCCAAATGTCCCATAATCCAGCTTTAAAATGGGTAGTCAAACACAAAAAAGGGAGTTCTTTGGACAGGACAGTGACAGGGATTTTCTAATTCTTTACATGCTCTCTGAGAAAATATTTAAATGGAAAAGAAAATGATGGCCTTTCTGAGTTAAAACAGTTCCAATCTCTTCAACAGATCACTGCACAAGAATGAGCAACTGCTTATTGAAATTCTGCCTCCTGGAAGCACCGCCAGTGCCCTCTTGTTCAGGGAAAGTCTGCAGTATTAATCAGTTATGGCTCCACAAAAGCCGAGGACAAGCACAAAAGCTCAGTGTTGCAGGCAGGTGCTTGCCGCGTGAGCTCAGCATGAATGACTTCCCCGTGTTGTTCAAGGCACTCCAAGGAGTCAAGTGCCACCACCTCTGTGCTTTGGTCTTTCTGCTCCTCTGCTCTTGGACTGCTGACCTGTACTGTCTCTGTGAACTTCTGTACATCTTAAAGTAGATTTAAAAAGCTTGATGTGTTGACATATTGGTACAGGTCTGTAAGCCTTTATGTAAAAATCTTAGAGACCAATGTAGTCAGAAATTGGGGGTTTTAAAAAGAAAATTCAGAGTACATGTCATATATTAATACCCCCTGAGGGTATGTCTTAACATTTCTGGGGCAAAATATATCAAATAGAATAAACCAAGATTATGAAAAAAAATTTTCATGCAGGTTCAGGTCAGCTTATGCTGCCAATTTAGTTTTAGAATAATTTCTTAGAGCCTTTTGGATTTTAGAATCTCAGACAAAGGATTGAGATATTATATTACAAATTGGTTGGTATTCTAATTATTGGTATTCTAATTATTATTATTACTTATTGTTGTAGAACCTCATCCAAGTGGGATCTAGGGATAACTCTAAACTCCTAGAGTCAGTGGAAAGAGTCTTAAGGATATGGAACCTCCCCTTCACTTTTCCAACAGCGAAATGTAGCACAGAGAATTCAACTGGTTTGATCAGGTTGTAAATGAGCTCTAACCTAGATATCAGGATTTTTATGTCAGACAAACCTAGATTGGGCCCAGCCCTAACTGAATTTGTCATTCTGGAAAATTTACACCTACTCTTATGCCCATGTCAAAGTTTTTCCCTACATTGTGAAAGACTCCTCATCCCTAAGGTTGTTAGGAGCATTAAATATGCAAAAGCAAGCACAGTATATTTATGTATTTGGCAAAGTGAGTTGCATATACTATGTGCTCAAAAAACAGCAATAACTGCTATTCTTAGAGTGATTTTATGATTGTTAATGACCTAATTAAATTAGATTCAGTAACTGTTGACTGAATCCTTCCATGAAAGGTACTGAACTAGGTCACAGTGGTGAGCAAGGCAGAATATCTGCCCACTCTACTGTCAGAAACCTGTGGAACTCTCATATCTATGTTGTGAGTACTTAGCAGAGTCCTTGATGCATGCTAGATGCTCAGTACCCTTAGTTGCATGTAGGAATTGCATACAGAAAGGAAAATCACACTACAAAGTTTCACTTTGGGTATGGTGAGGCCAGAGACAAGGAAGGAATAGCTGTTGGATTAAGAAGGTGGGGAGTTATGAGTTCACATTTAAACTGAACAAGAAATTAATTCCCGGTTAAAATTTAAAAATGAACCAATAATGTAAAGGGAGTAGGTATTCAATCAACAGCAATGAGTCAAAGGCTACTCCCTTCAGAATCAAAGGTCAGGCTTCATGTGAACTCTGGAATTTGTTCCATTTCAAAAGGAGCAGTACCCTACTTTTTGTGAAGTTCATGAGCCCACCTAGAGCTGTCATGATAGATGCTCCTGCATAGGGAATTACAACTTAATCATAAAGAACGCTTCGGTATCAGTTAAGGCCTCTTGGTGTGGGAAATATGGGGAGGTAGGTACCCTTCTACCCTGGTCACATGGCTGCCCATCTTGCATTTAAAGGATACTCTTTAAATTTTCACTGGAGACACCACTTGCCTCACCTAGTACCAGCGCTATGAGTAGTATGAAGTCTCTTCCAGGATAAAGTACAAATAAAAGATCATTACTATGAAGCCATATGTTGTAGTACAGGGGTTGGCAAACTTTTCCTGTAAAGGACCAGATAGCAAATATTTTAGGCTTTGTAGGCCATATGGTCTCCGCCCCAACTACTCAGTTCTGCTGTTCTAGTGGGAAAGCAACCACCTACCATGTGTAATGAATGGGCATGGCCCTGTTCCAATAAAACTTTATTTACAAAGGCAGGTGGCAGGCCAGATTTGGCCCTCAGGTCATAGTTTTCCAATCCAGTTACCTGGAAACTAGCCAGACCTCAGAAAACAGATTCCAAATCTACCATTTCCAAATATGTGCATTTGGACATACACTCCTGTAAAATACGATCATTATACCTCCCTTATTTGGTGTGAGGGTTAGAGAAAATGCGTGTGAAAGTGCCTGATAAATAGCAGGCACTCAATAGGGCAGTGTATGGTCCCTTTAATTACAAAGCATAATAAGAATAATAGCCAACATTTACTGAGCATTTATGATATGTCAGGGACAGTGCTAAGCACTTTATAAAGATTATTTCACTTAATCTTCCAACAACTCTCTGAAGTATGAGCTATTATAGCATTCCTTTCTGCTCATGGGGAAACTAGCCACTGAGAGAGGCCCAAGAGATGCGTACACACATATTAAGTGGTATAGCTGGTATTTCATCTCAGGTGAGCAGACTCTAGGGGCTGTGGTGCTAACTACTCCCTACACTAAGGTGCCACTAATCCCAGTCCAGTTGAAACATGCAGAACCATCTCAATTTCTTCAGGGCTTTTCATAAGTAATCCCTGGTTCTACACCTGCAAATAGATCCCCACAACAACTTTTCGAAATTCACTTTCAGGTTAACAGTCAGATAACATCTTATGTAAATACAGCCCCTATTCCAACTCCCTCTCCTCTTCACAACTCCCCCTCCCCAGACAATCTCGATAGTCATGGAAAACTAAAATATTATTGAGAAAAATAATGCAAACCCATTTCAAAAATTCCATCCTATAATCACTCTGAGAACTTGCAATTTCAAAGCTACATGGAAGAATAGCACACTGGATTAATTATGCCAGACTGCAGCAATAACCTTGAATTAAAGCTGCAACCTTCTATTTTTAAGAAACACTTGCCTTTCTGGTTGATGAAACCTGTCGTCCCATCAGGTAACAGACGTGACCAGGAAATAGAAAAGCGGTAATGAGTCAATCCAAGCTGTTTGATACATTTCAAATCTTCCTCCCACAGAGTGTAGCTGCCACAAGCTACATCACCAGTCTGGTTCTTGAAAACTCTCTCTCCTCCCTGATGGGTGAATGTGTCCCAGACACAAGGGCCTCTTCCATCTGCATCCCAGCCTCCTGAGAAAAGGAGAAAATGAAATGGTTACACTCTTGACATCAAGAGGCATATGTGGAATGTAAATATTTGTCACAAAAAGAACATACCTCATTAACACAATGCACCATATTTATAACTTTAAGAAATGCCTTTAAAATAATACACATGACTGGGTTATGTGTTTAGCTGTCCTTGATCCCTGAAGCTAACTAGTGGCAAATGAAAAATTATTGCATAGCAAGCTTTCATGGTTCATTATCTGAAGATCTCTCAGCTGGTAAACAGAGGCAGGCCCCAGCTTATGAATGTCTGAGTCAAAAACACTACCTTCTTGGGAATATCCCTGCTGGCCATGACTGATGCCTCTTGTCCTCACATATCATGTAGACTTTAGAGCCCTTATCTCTGGTCTCCTGCACTTGAACCCTAATCTCCTGTTATCTCACAATAGAGCCTGTGTTGGTCCAGCCTACTATCTGTGGGAAGGTGCTAGTTTCCACTCTTGATTGATAGGAGTATTCATAATGTATTCATTTATACCTCTGTTAATTGAACAAATGTTTTGTGTCAAGCACTATGTCTAGTGCAAGAAGTCTCAAATCTATATTATGTCTCATATCCTTTGGGAACTTAATCTAATAAGCAACTGCAAAACAGCCAATGTAAAGCCCCTTGCCCTTATAAAACCAGGGAAGGCCTAGAGTCAGGGAAGTTCGTGAGTCAGGGAAGGTCGCTTCCTGCTCAATGTTTTTAGAAACCTAAAACTGGTCTAAAATATAGTCTTTTGATTTTTAAAAAGAATATATACAGCATGTCTATCATGTTTTGTATATTTAGGAATATGTAAAAATAATCTGTATATTTTCCAAAAGTTAGTTAAAGTATAACAACATCCTAGGAAATATAAATCCAGACTAGTGGTTATCTTTGATGAGAAAGTAGGGAAGTGGAAACAGGGCAGGGTATAAGGGGCCTTCAGTTGCATCTCATATGTTTCACTCTTTAAACTAGGAAGAAGGTACATGGGGGCCACTTTATTACATTATGTGTAATCCCTTTTTATGAGCCTAAAATATTTTATCAGGCTTGCTTTATCAGAATAGATTTCATAGCTAGAATAAAGTAAAGAAAAGCAACTACAGGAAGATCTCACTACAGGTACTCCTGCATCTGCATGAAGTTCTAACAAGATCAGATATTGTCTCCAGCCCCACAGAAGGACAGCATGGGCAATAAGACCATGTGGGAGGAGACAAGAGAACCTGCTACAAGGAGGAGTTCCAACACAAGCAAAAATGACCTTCAATATCAAGGTAGGACACTAAATAGGTGTACAAAGAAGTCATGAATATTAAGAAGCACTGTACTCTGGAGTCACGTAATTATAGAGGCAAACAGTTTTACACATTCCAGTGGTTCTCAACTTGTGTCATCCTAGTTTAAAGGGATAAAGGTAAAAGAATTCCGGTATCCCATTTTAGAATGAAAGGTATAAGTATGAAAATACAATGCTTCAAACAGTGAACCTAGATTTTTTTTCTCTTAAATTCTTTTATTGGTACATTTTAGGTATACAATGCATTTACATTTATCATTGGAACTTGTACCTTGATGTATCTTACTACATAATGTATCTTGGTTCTTTTTTTGGTTTTGGTACCGGGAATCGAACTCGGGTCTTTGTGCTTGCATAGCAGGCGGTGAAACCACTGAGCTAAATCCCCAGCCCCCTTGGTTCTTATTTTTTGCCCATTCCCCTGCCCTCCCTTCAACTCCTCCACCCCACCCTATTTACAAAGACTTTGTTTCATTTTTTCATTTTCTCATGTTTTTTTTCCTTTCCCTTCTTTCCTTTCCCCTAACCTAGTGCACCTAGCTTTAAATAATTATTTTAATAAAAGAAGAAACTTAATCTCAGAGAATTCAAGTCATGGTATGCTGATAAATTTTTAACTACTGGGTATGTGTAAAAGAAAGTATATGTGTGTTTGGTGTCAATTTTACTGATATAGAATATGTAAGACACAATTTACAAATACTAATAAAATAGAACACTGGCCTTTACTGTATTCCAAATAGGCAATTGGTTTTCACAATATGCTTTTTAAGTGTTTGCCAAACTCATATATCAATAAACAACCTATTGTTGCAACCAGATAAACCTATGTAGTTCTCACTTTATAATTGGTTGGTATTTTTGCTTAATTTTCCAAGCAAAATAAAAGGGAAATAAGAAAGTTGTATCACAATGTCACTGTTCACCAATGACATAAGCTACTTCTTTATTAATTCAGTTAACAGTTTTCAAACACCAGACTATTTCCTCATTTTTGTGCTATTTACAATGTAGCAGACACAGCTATGAAATGCTTTTAAGTTCAATCTGCGTTATTAACATAATCTCTATCATTGTTTTAGCTCTGGACCACAAACAAAATGATAAATCAATACTGTCTTATAGCACTTGCCAATATGTGCAGTGTAAATACTCCTTCTTTGGCCAAATTCAAGCAAGCGATGTATGTCACTAAAGGCTGAGTTGGGCAAGATGAGAGGTAGCAAACCATTTACACATTTCATACTTCTCCAGACACAAGAAAGGTAACCTCAAAAAAAAAAAAAAAAAGAAAGGTAACCTCCAGGATATATATAAGAGTAAAACAGAGTCAAACAAGTAATGATTTTGAGTATTTATTAACTTAGTTTTTAAATGCAAATTATTTACTTGTAAGTTTATACAATTTAATTTTTAGTAATGGCTTTAAAAGTCAGTTCACAAAACTGTCAAAAACTTAACAGGCTTTCATGAGCTGGCACAATCTGGTTTCACCACATCGATGATAAGTAACTTGCCTAAAATCACAGTTATTAACAGTGCCCAGTGTTGTACCCAGATCTTTGATATCCAAGTTCTTCCACTTGATTGGGGGCTGTCAGCAATAATGGTACAGGTTGATTAAAGAAAACAATGGATATCCATGATATTCAATGTATGAAAGCTAAGAAGTGCAAAATATAGTTTATATATTTTGAAAGCAGTGAATCTGGTACAACTAAAACAAGTTTGACAACTACAAAAAGTAAATGTCACTTGGCAGAAAAATGCAGTTAGGTAGACTAGCTCATTTTCCCTGTATATCAGCTGGACAAAATATATGTAAATAACTTTGTTTCTATGAAAACTAAGCTTTGAATAGAAAATTAGCAACTATAATTAAAATTTTGATAAGAACATATTGTAGCCGATACTCACTAGTACTGTAGCACAAATCTTGCTGAATGAATATTAATAACTCATTTGTTGATCTGTTAATTTTCTAATTGCAATTATACTCACATTCTAAAAGTATCATTGTTATTTATGATGAACAAGATTACCATTACCAGATGGAATATATACTCTGATCCATACTCAAAACAACTATAATTCTTAGATAAAATACAATATATTTATGAATGTATCATTAATCTGGCAGAAAGTTAGGTGACCCAGGAAAATAAATGAAAAGCATAATATAGAGGAATGAGTGAGTACTGAAGCAGGATTTTGTCCTGAGAATGCAGTATAAGAGCTCAAATATATGTAGGTATTAATTATATGTCAACACTACTATAAAGGCCAGGAGAAGAAAAACAGAAGTGTGCTGTTGAAATAGTCTTAGATTATATATGAAGTGAAATAATATCATTTGACAGTGACAGGAGATTATATAATTTATATATATATATATATATATATATATATTTCCTAAAAGAGACGCTAAAAATTACAAAACAGGGAATAATTGCTAATAAATCATCAAAAAATATGTAATAGAATCACAAAGCATAATCTGGAAAATGTCAGAAAAGGAAACAAGAATAGAAGACAGTAAAAAAAAAAAAAACAGTGAAATGTTAGATTTAACCCTGTCAATAATGTCATGAAACATAAATAAGACTAAACAAACCAACTGAAAGGCAGTGACTGAGGGGCAGATTAAATAATGAGCTGTATATTACTATAAGAAATTCAGGCCGGGGATTTAGCTCAGTGGTTCTGCCACCTGCCTCGCAAGCGCAAGGTCCCGAGTTCGATCCTCGGTACCAAAAAAAAAGAAATTCACCTGAAATAGACAAAAGAAGATTAAAAGTAACAGAATAAAACTATATATAATACAATATATAGGATAACAATATTACATATATATTATAAATATGTTATATGTATCATGCTACCAACAGGAAGTAGGAGTAGTTATATTAATATCAATGTAGATTGCAGGGCAAGAATATCACTAAGTATGAAGAAAGTCATTTTATAACATTAAAGGGATCAATCTGTCAAGAGGACGTAACAATGCTAGATGTTTACTAATCTAATAACAGATTCAAAATACGTAAGGCAAAAACTGATAGAACTCCGCCACCTGCCTCAAAAGTGCAAGGTCCCGAGTTCGATCTCCGGTACAAAAAAAACCCCAAAAAACTGATAGAACTGAAGGAAATGGACAAATCTATACGTGTATTTAGATAAGTTAAAAAACTATACTATAAAAATGAACAAAATATTTGAACAGTTCTTCACAGAAAACAAAAGACATGTTTTAGTAAACATTTTTTAAATGTAAGAGATCATTAAAAGTCTGGAGAATGCAAATGAAAACCACAATGAGATACAATTCTATACCCACACAGTGGGCATAAATTTAAAAGTTGGGTAATACCAAGCGTTGGAGAGACTGTCACTCAGCAGGAATACATATTCCGTGCTGGTGGGAAAGCAATATGGAAACATCTAGCAAAAAGAGAGAAATACATAGTGCACCAAAGCCCAGTCATTCACACATCACCATCGACTGTTTCTACAATGCTGGACCAGGAGGCATAGATAGCCATGACTATAGTAACTAAAAATAAAGCAATAAAGAAGAAAAGCACTGTAAATAATCCAAATTTTCTTTGTCCAGAAAATAAATAAATAATATTCATAAAACAAAAGACTATACAGGAGTAAGAGTGAATGGAGTACATTTTTTTC